GGATGATTCTTCCAGCCAGGATTGTAAGTGTTGGAGAATGGATTACTCTGCTGCTGCTGGAACTGTGGTTTCCCAGGAAAGACTGCAGCTACTGACTGGTCTGCAGGAATGGAGCCCTCTTGTAGAGAAGGGCAAGCATCAGTGGAGTGAAAATGATCACTGCATATGCCACATGGATTGCCGAACTGTGGAACAGAAGTCTGGACTGTCTGGGTAACTGCCAACTGTCTCACCATGGTTGCCAATTCATCAAGTCTATTTTCAATTTGCTGATTGTCAGCACTTGATGCCACTGCTGAAGGCTGGGTCGGAGTTTCTTGCACCTGGTACACAACACTGCTATTGGCTCTCGTTCCAAACTGTTGAGCATTTGCAGCCATGTTTGAGATCAACGCCTTAGCTTCATTGGGTGTTTTGTTAACAAGAACTCCTCCACTGGCAGCATCAATCAGGTTCCTATCCATATGTAGCAATCCCTCATAGAAGTAGACAATCAGCAATTGCTCCGGAATCTGGTGATGTGGACAACTTGCACAAAGTCTTTTAAACCGCTCCCAGTACTCATGCAAGTTTTCCTCATTTGCTTGTTTTATGCCACTTATCTCCTTTCTGATTGAAGTGGCTCTTGAGGACGGAAAAAACTTCTCCAAAAACAATCTGGCCATGTCATTCCAAGTTTCGATAGATGAAGGCTGAAGGTAGTACAGCCAATCCTTAGCTCCTCCATCGAGGGAAAAAGGAAAGGCTCTCAGTTTGACCTGCTCCTCATCAACTCCTTGCGGTTTCATTGTGTTGCAGACTACATGAAACTCTTTCAAATACTTATATGGATCTTCACCTGCAAGACCATGAAACTTGGGAAGCAAATGGATAAGACCAGACTTAAGTTTAAAACCAGTATCAAGATAACGAATGCAAAAAGACTGATACTTAACATCAGGTGCAGTCAATTGCCTTAAGCTTCTATTATCCATGTTTTTTTTATTGTGACCAAAACTTCCTAAATTATAACAAAACTTCCTAAATTATAAAAAAAAAATAAAAATAAATAAAGAATTAGGAAAAATAAAATAAAAATAAAAAACAAATAAAAATAAAAATAAAAAAATAAAATAAAATAAAAGGAAAGAAAGAGCAAAAAGAACCAAAATAAAAATAACAATAAAAATAAATTAAATTAAATTAAATTAAAATAAAATAAATAAAATGAAAAAATGAAAATAAAAGGAAACTAAATCTAACAAAATCTAATCTAACTAATCAAAATCTAACAAAATCTAATCTACTGTTAATATTCACTAATTAGAATAAAAAAAATATATAGAAACAGAAACAGAAAAAGAAAAATCAAAATGAAAATTGAAGAATTTTTTTTTTTTTTTAGAAAAAGAAACGAAAATTAAAGAAGAAGAAGATGATCAAGAATCAGAAAACGATTTAGACCGATGCAATTTCCCCGGCAACGGCGCCAAATTTGACACGAGCTGTCGAACTCGCGCAAATTAAAAATTATTTTTTTAATTAGGGTTCAGAAAATTTGCAGTAAAGTGGAAACCCTAAGTCGTCTCTCAAGGAAATTGTTTTGGTTAAAATCGCTTATGAGAACAGAAAATTAAAAGGGGGGTTTTGGATTTTGATTCAATAATTAAAAAGGCAGAATATAAATTTGGAATAAAAATTCGTAATTAAAAATAACCAACCTAAGGTTTGGGTTCCATGGACGTCTTTCCTCGGATAAGAAGATATCAGAATCGTGATTGATTTGTCAATCGGATCAGAATCCTTATTTCCAATTGACAACCCTCTCTAAGCGATCGCTTAGCATTTGATCAAAGACGATGTTTCTACTCATACAATCGCAGAGTATCAGCCCGCTTGATTTAAGGTCATAGGGTCAATCAACCTCATCAAATCTGATGATTAATCCCTTTCCATAATCGCAATCGCGAACCTCAGATTGAATATCCACGATCGCACGATATCAATCTGAGTTGGGAAGGGAAACAAAACTGATTTGAAATAAACGCAGATCCTCAAGACTAATCCATGGAATCCATTACCCTTAGGTTGATTAAAAGGTTCTTAGCCTCGCATGGCTAAGGTAAACATGATTGAAATAAAAAGAAGAAGAAGAAGAAGAAAAAGATGAAGAACGCTTCAGAGAAAATACTTTGATCCTCAATTTTGAAAATTACAGAATGCCTCCAATGTTTCCTACTCTGCCGTCATATACCCTTACTCAAAGCGGCTTAGGGTTCAGTTCTGACCGGCCCATATGTCTAAAATACGGAATAAAATAAATAAAATAAAATAAAACTTCAGCAAAACGTGTCCGACTTTGTGCAAGAAATAGACTAGCTTTCAATCCGAATTGGGCTTCGAGCTCTTCATAAGAATTTTAGCCCTCTGTGTTATCTGAAAAACCCAACAAGAACGGAGTCAATCCGACAACTGTGGACCAAGATATGGCAAAAATACAGAAGTAACGTAAAGCTGAAAAATTCTGACGAAAATAAATTAAACCCAATCAAAAACTAAAAATGTAAATAAACTCAAAACATCATTATTTTATTCAAATAAATTCTAAAAATACTAATCAAGAGTAACAAATAAGTGTAATAAAATATGAGTTATCAGAACCTCCTTTGGGTTTTTGATTCACCAACCCGCCAAAAACGGGGCGGAGTTTAGGAATTTATATATAGATAACATTTGTCATAAATAAAATTGGATATCACAAAAATTTAAGGACTAATGAAATACTACCTAATTGTAAAAAAAAAAAATTATAACCCGGCGGGTCAACCCGCCCTGCGACGGGTTGAAACCGTTTTGACCCACTTCTAGGCGGGGCGGGTTGAGGTGAGTTGGTGGGTTGAAAACATCAACCCAACCCGCCCCGTTTGGGCGGGTTGGCGGGTTGACCCGCGGGCTCAACCCATATTGTCACCCCTACCAAAGGCCCCTAGCTCGTTTATCACCTATATATATATATATATATATATATATGAGGTAGGTTCCTCATCTGAGAGTCGTTAGATAAAAAAAGATTAATGGTGTCACATGCTTACAAATCAGAGTCGTTGATCTTTTTTGATCTAATGGCTATCAGATGAGGTGTCAAATTTCAAATTTAACACTGGTGTCAAAGGATCCTACCTCTCTCTCTATATATATATGGGAGAATAGCTTCTGCTATGATTGTAGAAGGTTATTCTCATGCCAATGACACACCATTTTTCATGCAATTTTTATTTTATTTTTTAAAATTAATATATGGTTCTCCCGTGACTGTAGAAGGCTATTATCATGCCAATGAATGACACACCATTTTCCATGCAATTTTTATTTTATTTTTTTAAATTAATATATGTTATATATATATATATAAATATATATATATATATATATATATATATATATGGGAGAATAGCTTCTGCTGTGACTGTAGAAGGCTATTCTCATGCCAATGACACACCATTTTCCATGCAATTTTTATTTTATTTTTTTAAATTAAATATGATTATATATATATAAATATATATGGGATAACAGTTTCTACTGTGACTGTAGAAGGCTATTCTCATGTCGATGACACACCATATACAATCACAGCAGAAACTCAGAAACTATTCTAGTTTCTGCTGTGACAGACAGTAGAAGGCTATTCTCATGCCAATGACACACCATTTTCCATGCAATTTTTATTTTATTTTTTAAAATTAATATATGGTGGGACCCATTAAAAAATGGTGCCAGCTTTTCTCCGGCTCTCCTTTCAAAAGCAGCATTGCATGTTTTTGTGTCTTTTATTTTTATTTTTCTCTCATGTAGGACCCCCAACTGGCTGTGTTTGTGGGAATTAGAATCCTCGTAATGCAACATAAGAATTCCACTGCCCTATATATAAAAACCTAAATTTAAAATATTCATATAATATGCGAAAGATTTGCTAGTATATTTACCACTTACGGTTGCAATTCTTCAACTTACTGGCAATAATTTGTGATTAAGTTTTCTTATTAATACATAGAGTAAATGGTCATTTTAGTCACCGATTTATATTGGTAGGTGCACATTAATTATCATTAATGAAAAATCACTTCATCTATGATCCTCGAACTCATGTTAGCTACATGCATCCTTCCATTAAGTCGATTTAAGTTGTGACCCAACCATTGTGTTTAAATGTTGCTGTGGTCTTTTTTTTAGCTGAGATAGAATCATCCCATTTCATTTGATTAAATGTTACCTTCTCTCAACAACTCATCCACGTCTAAAACCTTAAAAACATGTTAGGAAAAAAAAAAACTTAGGATATGGCATAGAAGAATTTGTCATATGGGAACATCTACTTACCAAAACAGTGTTAGAAATTTTCAAATGTTTTGCTGCACTACATTACAAACGCCAAAACTTAGAATCTTAGATCGCCTCATCGGCATGTTATTCCATTTGGACAAGAAGGGTACAAAGATAGGAATGTCCGTTCTTGAAATATTCACCAACCACCTTGTGAATATAAAAAAAAATGAAGAAAAAAACAAAATAGCAAAATGATAGTAATAATAATAAAGGACGGCAAAGTTGGTAGACGTATGTTGTGTTAAATATATATATATACATACATATATTTATAGAAACAAATATTCAGAGTTGGGTTGCAGCGTCGCATTATCAATATGTCTAAGCATCATCATTTCCTCCTCTTTTTCATGATAATCGGAGCTGCACTTCACCTTCTACAATTTTGTGGTATGCAACGGACAACCATTTTTTCCTTCCATTTTACTGATTTTAAGAATTTTTTTTAATTTAATTAGTCGTATGTTTTAGGACGATCTTTGATAGCAGTAAGATTTTTTCTTGTGATCGGAAAATAATGGATTTGAGTCTAGAAAGCACTTTCTTTATAAGAATATAAGGGTGAGATTGTGTATATATTCATATATAATTGTCTAATTTTCATTGTTATCATTAATTTCTCAGATGGAAAAGTAATGATGGAATACATAGGAGCATCGGGTGCCCCAGTGACATTTGATTCTGTTCCAATTGAAAAAGGAATTGATTTCAATTTCATTCTCGGTTTTGCTATTGATGCAGACCCTTCTGGCAATGTCCAAAATGGTAAGTTCTCACCATATTGGGCACAAACATTGACCCCAGATTCAGTAGCAGCAATTAAGGCACGCTATTCCAATGTTAAAGTCATGGTCAGCCTCGCTGGGTGGAGTGTAAACGACAAAGTCATTCGTTGGTATGGTCCAGCAGAACCTAATCTTTGGATATCAAATGCTTTTTCATCTTTAAAATCATTGGCAATCACTTACCATCTTGATGGCATAGACATTGACTACGAAAATTTCCCAAAAAATGGTAACTTCGCTAGTTTTGCTCATTGTATTGGTGAGCTCATCACCCTTTTGAAGAACCATAATGTCATTTCCATAGCCACCATTGCTCCCTATCATCTCACAGTCAATCCCTATATAGAACTCTTCAATGGGTACTCTAAAGTTATTGACTATGTTAATCACCAATTCTATACTGATAAAGTTTTGACTCCTCAAAGATACTTGGAAGATTTTAAACTTCGAGCCACACAATTTGATAAGAATAAGTTGCTGCCTAGCTATGAAGTGAATGGAAGGGGAATTCAAGGAGATGCATTCTTTGGAACTTTAACTTTGTTGGAGGGAAATGGTTTTGAGGTACAAGGCATCATGATCTTCTCAGCTGATGCATCTTCATCCAACAACTATTATTATGAGAGGAAATCACAGAATTTCTTACTATAAACTCTACTACTACCTGACAAGTTTTGTACAAATTCAACAACCAACGACTAAATTATAATACAGTTTGGTTGATGTCGTTGGCAATAGCCTCAGCATCCATTTTGATTCCAAATAAACCTCTCCTTGATAGTACTGCACAGTATAAGCCACATTCTCCCTTACAGTGATTTGGGGAAGCATTTTTTGGCATCCCATCATCATTTAGAACATATTTGTAATCCTGCAAAAGACATAACCAATAAATTTAATTAGTGTGTTCAGATTGCCCTTAATTATGCTTTTCTTTTTGTTTGAAGAAATGAGTATAAGATTAAAAATCAATTAGGAGTTCTGAAAAAAATAAAAAAAATGCACAATTTTTAAGATAAAATGTTGATCTCCTTTTTTTTTATAATATATATTTAATAGGACAAAAATGTAATCCCATACCTTAAGCCATTTATTAGCTACGCTCCTATAGCCAGTAGCAAACACGATCACATCAAACTCTTTTTCCGTGTTGTTTCCAAAGATGACCTTCCTGTTCTCAATTCTCATTATATGAGAAGGAATAACCTGTTGGTAGTAGAAATAAGGGGGGAAATAACACTGAATTAATCGAGGTATGTTAAATATTTAACAGTGAGTAATTTCTTTTTTGCTAAAACGTTATATACAAATAGTGTTAAATACCTTTATTGTTTCCGCCTTAATCTTTGCAATGGTTCCAACTTCCAACATCAAGAACCGGAGACTATTAGATATTAAGTATAAGGGTAGTTTAGTATTTTAATGATATTCTAGATCTTTCTCTGTTATGCTCTTCTATATAAGAGCTCACTCATTGTACAAATTAATTCACCACAATCAATGAAATCAATATTTTCTCTTTACTCTCTTTTACTTTCTAATATGGTATCAGAGCATTTTTATCCTCCATGAATGGAGCTTCCGCTGCCATCATATTTTTTTTTAGTTTTCTCTTCATCGTTCTTTCTGAGTTTTTTTTATTTTTCTAGATCTGTGCTTCCTTTGCTTCTGTATCTTTTCTCTCCTTTTCTTCCAGATCTCCTTTGTTCTCCTTTGCATCTGAACCTTTTCCCCTTCCTTCCTTCTTCTGGTTCACTCTTTTGAATTTTCCGATTCCTTTTTTTTCTTTTTCTTACTTAATTGCTGCTACAGTTAAGCTAGTCTTTTATTATTCCTTCCATTGGTATATTCTCATCCAACCCCACAAACATTCCAACGACCCAAATCTAAAGGACCGTCGTGCGATAAATCGTCTTTTATTATTACTTCCATTGGACCATTGTGCTACAGTTAAGATATTCCCCTTTATTTCCGGTCGGTCACCGTTGAATCTCCGGCCGGTCACACCCAGTTTTCAGATCTGCGTTTATGTCTTCTTCCGGCCATGTCCTTCTCTTTTTCGGCTGCGTCTTCTTCTGTTCCGGTAATCATCTCCGACCGTGTCTCATTCTCCGGCCACATCATCCAACTCTCTGACCGTTGTTCCAGATCGTTCACGTTTCAGATCTGTGTTTTTCTTCTCCGGTCTTTTCTTTTCTGATCTGCGTTTTTTTTGTCTTGCCATTTTTTTTTCATCTTAGTTATCGTCCACCTTTGTCAATATGGGTCTCTGATATATTCTTATTTTCAGATCTATCTTCTTGTTCTCTTTCAGTTCTCATTTTGCAGGTCCATGAAGATCCTTGGAGCTCATGGATTTAACTGCAATGCATCATTATAATTTTTTATTTTCTTATTTTGAGTTTTTTTATTTTTCTGATGTACTGTTTCTGGCTTGTATTTAGCCACTTAGATTTTATTCTCACATATATTTGTGGTGTTATTCCAGTCTGATTTGACTTGTATTTGGTTTATTTCTGCCATTGTTTTGGCTTTATTTTGGCTTCTTATTCAGGGGGAGCATTGATCATGTTGCTGAATTTCATTTCAGAACAGTTGATTTTGCCGATGTCCATCCCGGCAGTTCATATTAGGTTGCTGATGTCCATCCCAGCCCTTCCTTCCTTTGCTGATGTCCATCCCAGCACATTATAGCTGATGTCCATTCCAGCACTGTTTCTTTACTGGCTGATGCTCATGTTATTTGGTTATTATGTTTTCTTGATTTTTCTTGTTCAAGATGAAAGTTCTCTTTGTTCACTCTCCATCTTGAGGGGGAGTATTAGATATTAAGTATAAGGGTAGTTTAGTATTTTAATGATATTCTAGATCTTTCTCTGTTATGCTCTTCTATATAAGAGCTCACTCATTGTACAAATTAATTCACCACAATCAATGAAATCAATATTTTCTCTTTACTCTCTTTTACCTTCTAATAGAGACCTTCCTGCGACTTTCTTAAGATAGAATGGCCCCTTATTGGGCCTATAAATACCGTATTTGGATAAATCACCATATTCCATTTTTGCCAAAACAGTAATAAAAGAGTCCGCAAAATGAAGGGGCAGATATTTCAGCATGATCATGCATACCTTGATGGGTCAATTCTTTGGTGAGGACATGAAACTACAAATCAAAAACATTTTTATTTTTATTGCATAATCATTGTGTAAATTGTCGCAACAAATATATATACATATAGAATTAAAAAAAAAAGATATCCAAATATTGATGGGTTGGAGTTGGACTAAAATAGATTAATACATACCTTGTTGGTTAGTGGTTAAATGATTAACCCAATCCAATAAACGTATGGAATAAATTTTTTTGAAATTGCATCCATATATATATGGGTAAAGGATTTCTCCAGTCCGGAGATAAAGTTATCTCCAGTGAGCTCTCAAAATGACGTCGTTTTGAGACGGAAATCAAGGTATTTTTGTAATTATAATATATTGCAGGGCTATATTAGTCTTTATCATTATAATTTTTTAAACTTATTATGATAAACCCTTAGTTCATCAGGTTTTTCAGCATGAATTAGTATCAATTTGTGTGATTAAATGATGGAAAAAGAGGTTAATGTCCTAGAACGTCCTCAACTACAAGTTCAAGAAGCTTTATTGAGAATTTGTATTGTTCTTGTAGGAAAACCAAGCTAAAAGGGCAACTGGAGAAGGAAGAAGATTCTGAAGAGGAGAAAAATGCCTAAGTGTTGAGCGCGAAAACGTCCACACAGAACGTTTTAGCGCCCTGCTGCAGAAAGATGCCAAAACTTGCTGGTGCTGAGTGCTAAAACGTCCACACATAACGTTTTAGCGCGCTGCTGCATTCCGAGGATGAAAAGTTGCTAGTCTTGGGCGCTAAAACTTCTTGTAACAAGCGTTTTAGCGCCCTGATGTTAGAAAAGCCTCTGGTCTCCAACGCTAAAACGTCCAAACCAAATGTTTTAGCGGTGGAGTCAGTTGAGGACAGTTGAGCATTCACAAGGCGTTGACGCTAAAACGACCATTCATGAACGTTTTAGCGTTCAAGTTAGTTGAAAGCAATTGGGCATCCGTCAAGCATGGACGCTAAAACGCTCATTCTGAACGTTTTAGCGCCCATATTAAATTTCTGTTTTAAATTGTTAAAGTTATATAAGGCAAAGGCCTTCACATTTTAGAAGATCTGGAGTTTCTCTCTCTCTCTCTCCTACATCAGATTCTCTGATCTGACTTCTCTCTAAATTTCTTTAGGACTTAGTGTTTGTATTAGTTAGTTTTTTTATTGTAATTGCACTCGGAGATTGAAGATTCACTACATGGAAATGGAGTTTGATCTTTATTCTCTTATATCTTCCTTAGTTATGTCTGAGTAGAGTCATTGTAGTTTGAATTCAATGGAACTCAATGATATTCTTATGTATGTTTGATTAATATGATGAAGTGTTTTTCATGTGTTGATATGAGATTTTCTGATTCAATTCTTTCTACTAAGGGAGGAGTGTAGAACAGGAATGTTTACACTACTCCTATATCTGACAATCTCATCATCAGGATGAATTGATACTATAGTTCTGATGTAATCTTAAGACCTTAGTATTTCATGCATGTATTAAGAAAGGAATCACCAAGGGATTGGGGTTTCTGATTAATGTATCTATCAGGGTAGTAAGGGATTACATCTTGAGGATAAGTAAAAGGTTGATTAATATCACAGGAAAAAGAGTTCATCATATGATCAGTTTACATGAGTTTATTGTTGAGGAAAGTTGTTTTCTGACTACTTGTTTTTATAAATCTTAATTCAAATTTTTAGTATTAGATTAATTTACTTTCAAATTAACTTTCTGGTGACAAAACATTCATGATTTTTACAAACCTTTGTTTAATTCAAATTAGTTTTCTATGGTTCATTGGTGTTTGAATACAAATCTCTGTGGGAACGATCTTTACTCATCATTTTATTACTTGTACGACTAGTACACTTGCTAGATCCACAACATATAACCCCAAAACGATGTCGTTTTGAGCTCACTGGAGATAACTTTATCTCCAGTGACTGGAAAATACTTTTTCCTATATATATTAGCAAAAGTTTTGTCGACTAATTCTTCAAAGATAGTTATTAGACACTTATTACCAAAAAAAAAGTAAGATAAAATAATTACGGGTAATTTGGAATAAACAAGTAGGCAATTAAATTTTTTTCAATGAAATAAAAAAGGAAAGAATTTTAGTAAAAATTATGTCCAGTTGGGAGTGGATAAAAGGGTTCCTTCTAATCAAATAAGTAGTAAAAAACATATACACCCGAACATGTAAAATATGGTGTCTTGAAAATCATGCATGTTTAAGTAATATTCTTTGATGGAGAGAGTGAGTTACAAAATTTACCGGGCATCGGATGACAATAGAAGTGGAAGCACCCCAATTATGAAGATCATAAGCAATCTCCATTTTTTTTTGAAACATTTCTGTTTTTTGGAAACATATCATAAGCAATCTCCATTCCAGAGTTTCAGCACCCAACTACTAAAACCTCTTTGGATTCATATTTTGAACCAGATATGTAGTATTTGGAGTGCACTATCAGGAATATAACCTACACTGGCAATCACAAGAAACATA